TTCTTATTATATATACATACATACTATATATATATATATATATATATATATATATATATATATATAAACAATAGGCCTATAGAAAACAATCTTACCACAAATTCTATAATGATATACCGGTATCAATTAATAATAATAATTTTCCTATACATTTATAGGCCTATAGGATTAAATGAAATAGTAATATCTGTGCTGGCATTGTCAATGAATGAGTATCAAACATATTAATAAACTTTTTATGTATACACATGCATAAATCATCTGATATAATTAATCAGGATTATCACATCCATGCCTAAATTATTTATCATAAGGCATATTCTTATCATTCGGTTGCAAATCATTACATTGATTTATTCTTATTATCCAAATAGCCGCAAAACCCTACAATCTTTTAATGGATGTATTTTCAATTAAATCCAAGGATGAACACGACAAAAAAAAAACCCCAAATTATTGTCAACAAAACACGAATAAAGTTGTCTCAGCTACACGAGTGTGCAATTGCGTTATGGAGCAATATTATACATTTATTAGTTATTCCCGAACAGGTGCAATTTAATTGCATGGTTATATGGTCAGGTTATTAGCTTAACGTTTCTTGTGATTTGTGTTAAATATGAGAAAAATAGTCCAAATTTTGATCTTTTTATACCTTTGTACCACTGGTGATATATAAACCTATATAATGCTATAAAAATAAAACGAAAACAAATAGTGTTATGAGCGCCTGTCTCTATTTATTAGGTCAGAAACACGACAAAATGCGTAGACAGCATATTTTGTTTTCATTTTACCGTACATTATAATATCGGTTACGTGTTATATTACCCATTAAGGATGAAGTCAGCGCACTAACTCTTGTTACAATCCGTACACGTCCCGCATCGTGTAACCCCATTCTAAAACGTCGCAAGGGAGCGCCGGGACCCATTATCGGATTCAGCGTAACGGACACCAAGTAATCGTGAACTGAGATTTTCACTGCAGTAATAACCGCGCTAAACTGCACTTGTGACTCGAGGAATTGGGTAATTTACACCCTTAATTTAGATTATTGTCAAAATGATCCAAAAAGCTCTTGTATTGTTTTAGATCAAGGCAATTAAGGCTGGAAATGAATAACAGCTTTCTATCGTTAATTACAATTTCAACTTTTAATTGCAACAATGTAGAATCTAAGTTCTACTAAAAGTGTGAAGAATAGTAAGTAAGATTTATTGGACATGAATTTGATTACATTTGAATTATGGTTTGGTTTCAGTTCGGATGAACATGACGATGTGTGGATCATAGGAGGTTCGGCTCTCAAGCTTGCTCTAAATGGGTCCCACTAGCTGTTACAAAGGCATAATAATCGCAACAAATTCAGAGTGACATGTTGGCATTTACTGATTTAATCAACGTTCTAATTTATCTCAAAATTGATCTAAAAACTAAATATTATAATGCCAAAGCGCGATGACGTATGCTGTATTTCTAAAAATAGAATGACGGAATTGAATGCAGTATATTTTGCATCACAAAATAGTGTTCTAAACAAATACAAACAATTTCAAGTGCTACGTTAAAATTACGTATGCACAATATTAAACTCTTTGAGTTTATATCTTGTTAGTAATACACTGGATCCGCTTCTTTGCCAAAATTGAGTTGATTATAGAAGATAACAGTTACGGTACTGAAATTAGTAGAAACGATGAGAGTAAATCACGAAATAGCCTACTAAGTACATTATTCTTAAGTTTGCTACTTAAATATGTGAAGAAAAATATAAAACTTACCGGAGGAAAAGTCCAACTTCTGCTAAATATCACGGATAATCAAAATGCAATGATAATTTTTCCTAACTCGGGGTGTGTTATACCAGTTGCATATATTGAGCATTTGACGGTGTCTGGATTGTCGCTACTCTTTTTTATTGTGTCTTCGTAGCGAGTTTATTGTTCAATCGTAAATAAAGGAAATCGCTTTATGTACCCCGTGGGTATCTTTAGGTTATTAACAGATGATATCATTAATTGTTGGATGATATACACTAGTACAAAGACAAGGTTAGTTTGCGCCGATCAGCGCTTTACTTCTGAAGTTTATGTGTGGCGGGAAATTTATGAGCCTCACCAACCCTTCATGGGAATCAAATTTAAATTTTTAAAACCAAACAATTGTTTATCAATCGTTTTAAGTGTGAAATATTTTGGGTTATTCGCTCCGTTTATTTTAATCGTCAGACCCTCAAGATTTCAAAGTGAGAAATTATAGTGTGGATTTGAAACCAATATAACATACAAAAGGTTACACTTCCATTCAAAAACCAGCGGTAAATCATGCAGCCAGGCAATAGCTATTAACTACAAGTGTTTGAAAATCCAACATTTGTTAGAAATTTGCCGTAATTATGGCCGTATGATTTATATAATTTCTGAGAATAATTGAAGAGATAATCTTTGATTTTATTTATCAATTGAAACATCAATAGAACATAATTACTATTAATATTTAACAATTGGAAAAAAATGAAATCATAAATAAAATCAATCATTTCATTACATTATTTCAACTTATTTTATAAAATATCCGCCAGGCTTTGGTATATAATTATAGTAGAAGCCTAACGATTTTGAATAGCATAGGCCTTTATAAAGTAGGCAATATATAGTATATAATATATAATAATATATACATAGGCTTATATTGAACGTTAAAAATATGCGAGGGTGAACAAAGTCGCTCCAAATTTATATAGGCCTCTCTCTCTCTCTATATATATATATATATAGGCATATATATAGGCCTATATATACATTTGTGTGTATATATATATGCATATGGAATAGGAAACTGTCATTTTTAGCGAAAGATTTATGAATCAAACTTTGTTATAGGCCTTACCGCTTCTCATTTCTCGAGTAGGGCCTAAAATAATTAATAGGCCTATTTCGTTTTTCGCTGTAAACAAGCCATTTCCCTTTACTTATCCCTCGTCTAAATAATCTTAACGTGTTGATCCATCTTTCCATATTGTAAGCCTGTGACATACATCCACTGTGTTTCGAATCGCAAATGTTATGATTTTCTTTGCAACGGTGACTGATAAACAGCGTTCTGCGCAATCTGTGTGATAAAGAACCGCGACATTAACGAGAGATTAGGGGGTGGTCCTGGTCTGAAAAGACCAAGAGGTACAATCATAAAATCCTCTATTTGATTGCATGAATTATATCCCGCTTTGACAGGCAAAAAAAGTCCTGGATCAACGGATTCAAGCACCATTTGTGACTGTTAGTTATGTATCGCTGATTTTCATGTTACTTCTCTCCGTCTCCTATATAATCCAGGAAAGTCGCGCCGACACTCACTTTCAACTTGCGATTGTAAGTTACGATTACGAGAGATTTCAAAAATATAACTGAAGAAATAAAAAGTTGTCCAATAAACCATTCATATTATAGTTCCGGCTCTTTTATATTAGGACAAAATACGAGTTATATCAACGGTTAAGAAATCGTTATGTAATTTTCCGGCTGTTAACGAATGAATACTGCAGGTTTACGAAGAACCATAGGCCTAAGTGAAAACTCTGAAAGTCAGACGTACAGAGATGAACTATTGGATATACAGAAAAAAATACATAAGTAAACTAAATCATCCATGAATAAACAGATCTATCACTAAGAGGCCAATAGTCATTTATTTTTATATTAATTGCCCAGACTTCGACAGCAACGAAAGTTGCCAATTACAGAATTGAATCAATAATAAAATACATAAATATATAAACCGAGTTACATAGAATAAAGTGGAGGATTTTCTCCTCTGTTTATACTCTTTATATGTTTTGACAGAAAATATGCTTTATTTAAAAAAAATCTTATATGATGTGGATATAAAAGAAGTATTCTGAGATGGACATAGCCTACATTTAGGAACAATAGCTCTAAGTAATAAAGAAAAGGTATGAGTTATGTAGGATTCGAACAAAATAATGAGCTTTTCACTCCTCTTAGTTATGCCGCACGTAATTGGCAATGGTTATTTTCAGAGCAATACTGTGCTAATTAGGCCCATAGTGTCAGAACCTCAACATAGGCCTATGTAGGCCCTATTGTGATACAGCTATCATTGATATGTAATTGGCTTAAAGCAGTAGCGGTAAACATCAAAGAAGAAATACCGTTATGGAACGGTAATGATTAAAGCATTCGGCAAGAAAATTCACCGTGTAAAAAATTCAAAAGCAAAGCTCCTACCATGGAGTTATAAGATCCTACCTCGTCCAAATATATTCAAAATAATATATGTTGATTGTAACAGTTAAAAAAATTACGATTTTCTAAAGTGAACTTGAAATGCAATCTTTATCGTACAGTGTCTTCCAATTAATTCAGATAAACATAAAACTGAAGCTGAAGCATTGTTATAGCTGGGACGTGTACTATTAAACAATACAGCAACATAAACGCCATATCTTTCGACAAAATTAATATTGTGACAATAATATTTATGGAATGTTTTAAAAGCGACGGTTTCTGGATGGTTTGTTTCGTGTTGGTACTGAAGATTATGGAAGTTAAACGCATCGCCTTATATCGAATGTGTCTTCATATACAATCGTCATCACCCTCAGTAAACGAAAGGGTCTTCAGCTGTTAGAGACGTAACGAAACAAAAGAAATAATTATGATATACGACATCAAAAAATAATGATGACCATTTCGTTGTGATCTGTTTGACACCAATTAACGAATGAGAAAAGCTTGGTTTAAAAATATCGTGATAATGGTGTTGGTATTTAGATAGAATCAATTGTTCACAGTACACATCGAATTTAATTACATTTACTACTGAGAGATTGGATAAAAGTAAAATACAAACACATCTTTTCCGTGACTTCAAAATTAGGTTAACTTTTTTAAATGCTTACCCTATTCTTTTAAACTTAAATGCCTGGCGATTAATGTTTATCGTAATCACAGTGTTACTCAATATGCATATAATTA